CATGGGGACATTTAGGTATTTGATGGAATATGTATTAATACTTTATTAATTACATATTTATTCATTCATTTATTCATTTATTTATTGTATTTTCAGTAAAAAGGCTCCATTTAAACCTGAATGATTTAGTATTTTAATGTTTAAAGTAGCTCAATCAGGAATACTGTGCTATCTCATTTGGTTTTGTAACTTATGCTGTACATATAAAATAACTTTATATTTAATAAAACACTCCAAAATAAATACAGAGATCTCCTCAATTCTTTCAAAAGTATTTTCTTAGAAATCTGCTTTAATAAATTTGTTTGTGTCCTTTTCTTCTGCTTTTAGCCATGTTTTTTTCCTGCTACAGAATTGCTAATTTTAGCTTTTAGATATGGTCATGTAACATTTAGCATTAAGCTGCTGTTTGGTTTGTTGATACAGTTTTGCTTATTCAAGCTTTTAACAACAGTTCTGCTCATTTTAAGCTAATCTAGTTACTAGTTGCAACCTTTAGCCACAGTTTAGCTTCAGTTTTTGTGAATTTAGCCTCTGTTCTGCTTGTTTTAACCTCAGTGTTTCAGTTAAAAACTCCAAGTTGAACAGAATTCTGCAGTCATACAGTGTCCTGCGTTCACACAGCAGATTTATAAAACATGTTTTTTTGCTCTGAGAAGTAGAATTTTTGAGAGTTTTTGCTGAGCTGAGGATCTTTCTTCTCCCAGACATAGCATTGTTACCGCTTGGTGTTGGCTTGTAGATGTTTTTATGTATTTATTTTTTCAGAAATCCTTGCCTTCATTGTAAAACACTTCCACACCATCAGATGTAGCTCAGATCYATTTGAACTCCAGTCGAGGCCAGAGCTCGGTGCTAAGCAGCAGTGAATCTGAGCCACGGTGTCCACCACCTCTGAAAGGGGAGAGGTAATGTTTTATTACAGAAGAAGGCCGAGGTGCAGAGTGCAAAGAAAGGAACATGTCAGTGAGTTGAATCAGTCCAGTTTACTGGCTTCATACCTTTTTCTTCTAYTTTTATTTTGATGCGAAAAGAGGGAGAAAATATATGTTAAGCACTTTCTGTCCAAAAGAGACCCAAGTGTTTGTGACTGTAACAAAATGTGCTAATGAACATATTGTATCCACAAAAAGAATGTGTGTATTTTTGACTTATTAGAGTTGTGAGTGTGTGTGAAGCCACTTTTGGCCCTGCTGCCACGTTTTCTGACACAACACCATGTAGGAGGCAGCAGAGCTGTCCAACTAATTGACTGTCTGCTCCGAGTCTGTAGCTTTTACAGTCAGCACAGTGAAGGGGAGGAAATGGCACCAAGAAAGACGGAGCTGGAGATGACGGCGTGGGAGGAGAGGCACAGTTGATTTTAGGAAGAGAAAACGTCCACTTTTCTCAGCGACCATACAAGTTAGAGAACACAGCAATTACATCAAGATTTGGAGGTTTACAGGGACTGCTGGGGACACTTGCAGCAATTAGTGTTTTATTAGCACCACTGTGGTTTACAAGTGYTTCGCTCTAGTGTGCTTAACTACAGAAAAGCCAAGCAGGGATAACTTGGAGTCTCTATAAAGAATCTTGTTGGAAATGATCCTCCTGAGGATGTAATATAATTCAAAATAAAATATTGGTTTAAGTATTGAGTTGTTTCTAAGAAGACATATAAACTTCTGAAGATATCTGTCCATAGAGTTTAGTGTTAGTTTGTGGGGCAACCCAGTCCAGGTAAGGTCAACAGAAGAACTTCAGCAACCACTTACCTAAGCAGCCTTCATAGCTATGGCTGACCATTGTAACCACTGTAATCAAACCAGTCATAATTACATTCTTAATTATTAGGATTCATTTAAGGAGAAGATTGAACAATTTACACTTATTGGGTTTTCATTGCTGAAACTGTATTAAATTAAGTTTAAATGTCATCTTACAACACAGCAACATCTGTGTCCACAACAGTTGTCTGTGGTACCAAACCACTTCTACAGAGTTTCTGGGTCTGGAGTTGTCTGTGGTACCAAACCATCTCAACACTGTTTCATAGTCTGGAGCTGTCTGTGGTAGCAAACCACTTCTACTGAGTTTCTGGGTCTGGAGCTGTCTGTGGTACCAAACCATGTCAATACTGTTTCATAGTCTGGAGCTGTCTGTGGTAGCAAACCACCCATAAACTGTTTCATGGTCTGGAGCTGTCCATGGTACCACATCTCTATGCTGGTCCTGGGTCTGGAGCTGTCCGTGGCATCAAACCACCTCTACATTGTTTCTGGGACTAGAGCTGTCCATGGTACCACATCTCTATGCTGGTCCTGGGTCTGGACCTGTCCGTGGCACCAAACCACCTCTACATTGTTTCTGGGACTAGAGCTGTCCATGGTACCACATCTCTACACTGGTCCTGGGTCTGGACCTGTCCGTGGCACCAAACCACCTCTACATTGTTTCTGGGACTAGAGCTGTCCATGGTAGCACATCTCTACACTGGTAATGGTTCTGGAGCTGTCCGTGGTACCAAACCACTTGTACACTACTTTGGGGTCTGGAGCTGTCCATGGTACCAAACCACCTCTACACTGTTCCTGAGTCTGAACCTTTCCTCATTTCTGAACCCCTTTGCATCTGACATCAGTGGTCAGTGCTGTGTAATTCRGAAGTTGCAGGTTTGAGTTCAGGTTGCATCTTGAAATTTCAAACATCACAGTATAAAATCCAAATAAGAACACCACCCAAAAATGTTGCTGTCTTCTCTGGACCACATCTCATCTAAGGTGGACTGAGGTCAAATGTAGAATTATTGTTATTAGATCAAAAATTTAAATCCCTAAAACTATGAACGCCATATCCTCTGCACCTAGTTACTGTCTCACACATCTTGAAAGGCACCATAAATTATTTGASTTTAATCTACAACTTATTTGTAATCAACCTTAACAACACAAAAATGAGTAAAACTCAACTGTTTGAACTATTKTTTCCAAAGAACTAAAACTTAAATTAATGAAGAAAACCAGTATCTGCATTAGTCACAGTAAACTTTGACCAGCATGGTGGTCAATAGGATGATCTGGTGCAGAAGTTGAATATTGATTTATTGGAAAAGTATTTGCTGTCCTTTGAYCACATAACACAACAGAGGAGAAGGAGATTGAAAAAAACAGTTCAGCCTGAAGGCACTTGTGTTTAAATGCCCACTTSCATGTTTAAAAGGTGAACTGAAACCATGTGATAAAAGCAAGGTACAAACGTTTTACAAAGATACTTTTAATTGTTTCTGTTTACGCCAAAAATTATTAATAAATTAAACAACATTCCATTAGAAAAACACAGAATAAAACTCATTTTATGTTAATAAATGATTAAGATACAGCAGTTTCAGTCAAACCTCGTAAACAATCATGTTTTTTTATCATGCAAAATGTGATAGGGTTCAGTGAGTGCTTCTCAGCTAGCCCACCACACATTTTAGCTCAATATTTATAAAACTGTGTGAGTTTTAGCCATTTTTTGTTGGCTAATTTTGAGTCTCTGCGGCTGCCATCTTAAATCAGGTCGACTGAAAAAAGGGAATCAGTTGAAGATGTACATCCAGTGGCTACTTCCTGAAAGTTTGACTAAAATTAGTCCCGTGCTTTATGAGATATTTTGCTAACACTGTTCTCTGAGGGGGTCGGCCCAGATTTACGCACGTTTCCTCCTACGTTTGCACCAAACTGTTCTGTAAGCAGCGACCAAGGCTGGCTTTTTTGCTGACGTAATATCGATTATCGGATATATATAAATATATATTTTTAAAGAAAATACAAATGTAGTTTAGACAGAGGCAGTCGGAGCGCGCGGCTCCTCCGGCAGCACGCACTCCGCGGACACACACACACCCTGAAGGACGCGCTTCTCTTTGAACGCATCGTTGGTTTTCTTTTCAACGTTTATTGATCAGATTCCGTTCGGTCTGGGTCTGGATCGGAACCGAACCGTGAGGTGGACCGGCGGGACCAGGTGACAGGAGCTGTTTACGACGCTGCGGTGCAGATGATTGAGCAGTCTGCGCGCTGAGGACGGAGACGCTGCGGGACGTTTTGAGGAGCAACTTGGGAATTAAAGACAAAAGAAAATGTTTTTTTTTTAATTATTTAATGTTTGTTTTTTAAGGGAGATGTGAGCTTTTCCTTTACGCACGGATGCAGCCGCAGCTTTTCCCATCAGATCACCTGCTGGATCTCGACGCGTGATTTTTATTCATTTTTTTCCTTTTCTAATTATTCTTCTGCGGGATTATCGGAGACATGAGCGCTGCGGGAGCTGGATTGTGAAATCATCCCATCTTTTTTTGTGTGTTTTTGAAAAGAGGATCGGCTCGGAAGCGCTGCGACACATCGATGGCTCCTCCGGTGCAGAGACGCAGAGATGCCTGCGCGCGCTGGCCGACAATGTCGTCAACTTTCTGGGCTGTTCTGCTGCTGACGGCGCTGCTGCTCCTCTGCTGCGGTAAGTCCCCGCACCGCCTAAACCCCCGCAACTCATCGAGCCGCGCAACTTATTCACGTTCACACTGGTCTGCTGCCGCATTGTTCGCGTC